TTTGGGGAAAGGCTGATTCTTGTCGGACCGATGGAAGTGAATGCCCGGACGGTTGACTTTGTCCCTCTATTTAGGCACTGGAGGTAACTTTCGGTGTCGGTATGGATGTGCGAAGCGGCAAGACGGGATGGGGTATTCTGGGTTAGGAGGAAAGGGCGAATGCCTTGCCGACACCTGGGTACCGTGCTCGCGACGGTTGAGCTGCACTTGAGGTATGGGATAAAACTCTACCGATAGTACCAGCGGAGAGACCATATTGGGGATGGCCGTTGAGAAGATGACCGGCCCGTATGTGAGGTTGCCTGATTTTTTTATGTGTTCCCCCTCTGTAAAATTTGATTGAGCTCAGACTGTTGGACGGGACATATTTCTAAGTCTATCCCCCCCCCCCCATCTAAGTCCACACGAGTGAGAGATGATCGCAAGGAAGAAGGATAAAGGTCAGTTGGAATGGAACCAAGAGAAAGAATGTGGGCAAATGGATGGCCGACCGAGGGAATTATGGGAAGCAGGTACTTAGGAATGGGGAGGTAAAATAGGAAGACCTTGATGAGGGGTCTGAAATAATTCTCATCTAGGACAAGGGTTGACCTGACCAAAAGGACCGGTTGATGCTCGTTTTATGAAAACAGGGGTTGGGTGCTGAAAACAAGATGGCGCGATGGTTGCCTTCCCCGATCTATACTAGCGGCCCAGAAATGCCAGTAGATGTAAAGGAAGGAGTATCGGTCCTCCTCCCGGAAAATGGAACGTGGACAGACCTTGAACCGGCATATCAAACGGTAATGCTGGAAGGAGAGGATGTTTTTCTTTGGATAGAAACAATATGGACTAATGTCAGCTTGACGAGGTTGTCGCCAAGTTTAATGGATTTGGAATTCCGAGGGACAGTGAAAGCCCGGGGGTGGGTCTACTTGTCGCAAGATGGGGAGAAAGCTATGATCATAGAGTTGGCACTCGGGAATACACCGAACAAGTTGTTTAGGAAGGCAGAAGCAGAGGTTGTGTGGGCTGCATGTCAACGGAGGGAAATGGAAATGGAAAAGGTAGACGTACGGGTGGAACTTGGGGATAGAGGAAGCATGAGGCGACCCGTAAGAACCATGCGATGTGTGCTGCCCCCCTTCCTAGTGGATGCGGTTTTCGAAACTCGGAGCAGGCTAGTGCGAATATGCCAGTCCATGACGAACCTCGGGCTATACCAATGCGCTAGGCAAGATTTTTTTCGGTTATCAATGGAGATGGGCCCGTTCGAGGGGAACTGGGCGGAGGAGCTGGCCGAGATACTAAACTGCCTTAGCATAGACAATATCTTTGTCCCTAGACAATATCTTTGTACCTAGCGTTGTGCATTGGGGGATAGTCTGCAGGAATGTGGCAATAGGGGAGACGTTTCTAGATGGGGTAAGGGAGTTGGTATACGACGAGGAGGACGACTTCAGTGATGAAGACGAAGATGAAGAGATAGAGGACTGGGACTTCTAAGAGCGGTGGGGAAACTTAACTTAGGAAGGACAGGTAGCCTGGTATTGTGCAGAAAAAGGAAAGATGACTAGAGAAGAAAGGATGATGGAATACACCTTCAAAGGCTGGGAACCACGACAACTCAGAGGAGGAATAGAAATGCCTATACCAATAGGGAACGGATGGAGAGGGACCATGTGCGACTGGATTGGGTTTGAGGTTGCGCGGGACTTGTCATATGTATGGATAGAGCGGATTTGTAACCCGATAAGGAAAGAGGAAGGTTGGGATGATATAGCAGAAGGCAAGGTAGAGTCAGTTGGAACGATTGTCCTTTCCGAGGATGGATGGCACCTGTTTTGCACCATGTTAGCAATGGGACAGGACCCGATGTGGCTTCTAGGGGATGCAGAGGCCCGAACCCGAAAGGAAGGCAAGTTGTTCGCCAACGAGGGATGGGACGAAGTTAGTAGCAGAGTTGTGATGAGAGGATGAAAGGAACTTAAGCCTCCAAGTCCACGGATAACGGCTTGGGTACCGGAATTCATAGCCGAGTGGTTTGGGGGGGGTTGAGCACATTTTAGAAGTAGCTGACTCCATGAGAAAGGTGCATATAGAGTGTGCCTGGCTGACTGAGGAGTTCTAAGGGCTCTCATTGAAATATGGGCCCTTCTACGGAGATAAAGTCGAGGAAGTCATCATCATCCTAAGAATAGGCAAGTATGACCGCCTAGAGGTAGAGGCGGAGTCTAGGGACGCCATAGTTAGCCGGGAGGTGGCGGCCGCGCCCTCCTACGTAGACGATGTCTTTAAACTATTTGAGGTACTGTGGTTCGACTGAATGAGGCCAAGGGATCGAACACCGCGAAAAGGCCTGAGTTTGGAAGGTGTTTGTGAATTGAGGTATAACATAAGAAAGGGAGTGTACACTAGGCCGTAGATGGTGCGTAAGGATCGAAACAAGGGGGAAGTGGCAGCAACTGAAAAAGGGG